AGTCAGGGCCCTTCCACATGTAAAATGCAGCATCTGTCATTAGCTGTCCGTCATTCAACAATTCCACTGGCTTGGCTGTAGAAACACTCCAAAACATTGGGCAAAATCACCAAAGAAGGAATTTCTCTCCCCAAATGCAGACCCCTGAAATGCTAGATGGGTAACAAGTCATTCTTTACACTCAATGGGAGGAGATTAGCTCTTCGAAAGAGCAGTTGATTTCACTCTTCTTAGGATTTTATTTTGGGACAAGATGAATCATGCTTTCAAAGTTCTTCCCTCTGCATAGGAATGATAAAGGGAGTCCAGGTGAGCATCTCAGATGGAGACATAGCCATGGCAGATGAAAAAAAAAAAAAATAGTATAGGTTTTACTTCACCTAACCATAGAGGTCTCCAAGTGATACACTTGAGTCTGAACTGATTGTCTGCTCCTCCCTTCTAGAAGCAACAGTATTTCTGGAGAAGATTCCTGTATGTCCTCTGTACATTTGTTCTGGAATGGGAGAAATCTCTCTCTAAATGTACCAATTTTCATGCACGTGCTGATTCATGCATGTTCTGGATACTCCAGGGCATCTACATATCAACAGCAATATGGGGCAATTGAACCAAGCCTCCAAGGTGAATCTTATCCTTCCTGTTCTTGCTTCTTGCAGAGAACATCTGTAAAAGTTAGTCTTACCTTCTCAGCCCCTCTGAAAAACTGAAACAGGGAAGACTAACAGAGTAGTCCAGGCTGTCTTAAATGAACTGGGTAATGCTTACTGGACAACAGACTCAAACCGATGGATGGGGTCCATTTGAAGAGTCAGCACCCTCTAGCTGAGCATCCATATGTAATGCTGGGGTCTGCACCACTGTATTTTCTCTTGGTCCCACATTCAGCACCTCCTTTCCCCGAGCTGGCTCCTGCTCTGGCTCCAGGCTGCCAGGAAGCCAGCTGGGTCACCATGGACAGGGCTCCAGGCACTTGGATATGAGATCTGCAGCTGGGCCCATGTACCTCTGTCCAAGGAAGTGGCAATGTCCACCCTCATCAGCTCTGCTGTCCTTGATGGTAGTTGTGGAAATGCCTTAGAAAGTCCACTGAGGCTGGATCACACCTGCTCCGGGGTGTCTGTAACTGCCTACTTTCGTGGCTGGGATGATGTTTCATTTGGGGGTGAATTCTACCTGTTAGGTGTTAGAGTACTCTTCAGCCCCAGAGAGCAACCAAAAGCAGGACCTCAAATGTCTAAGGGACCCGAGGCACAGATGAGTGCAGGACACTGAGGGCTGCAGACAATTCCAAATCAATTCAACCAGTAGTCCTCTGAGATAAACTGGGATATGCAAGACCTTGCTTAGGGCTGGCAGTGAGGACCCAGCATCTCTAGGAAAGGCAGGTTGACCTGGACCAGCAGTGGAATGTCAATGAGGTACCCTAGCCCCTTCAAGTGATCTGGATATCTCTCCTGAGACACAGGTTCAAATCCATAGAGTTGGATCTAGATGGAAAGTCAGGACCCTCCAGCTGAGCATCCACATGCAGTGCTGGGGTAGAATTGCCTGAACACAGGACCCTGGAATCAGTTCTGTTGCCCATGGGCTGTTTGAGGCATCCATATGGGGCAGAGAGCTATGACACAAGGGTTGGAGGCAACTCTGCCCCTCTTGGAGTGGCAGTGGAAGACCAAAGAGACCCACTAGGCAATGGAAACGCTCTAGTGATGTCCTGGTTTCGGCAGAGATAGAGTTAATTTCCTTCCTAGTAGCTGGTACAGTGCTGTGTTTTGGATTTAGGATGGGAACAAAATTGATAACGCACCGATGTTTAAGTTGTTGCTAGGTAATGCTTACACTGGCCAAGGACTTTCTAGTTTTCCATGCTCTACCGACTGAGAAGGCTGCAGGTGCACAAGAAGCTGGGAGGGGGGCACAGCCAAACTGGCCAAAGGGACATGCCATACCATGTGACGTCATGCTCAGTGCATAAACTGGGGAAAGCTGGCCGGGGGGGCCGCTGCTCGGGGACTGGCTGGGCATCGGTTGGCGGGTGGTGAGCAATTGTACTGTGCATCACTTGCTTTGTGCATTATTATTATTATTATCATATTATTATTATTTTATTTCAATTATTAAACTGTTTTTATCTCAACCCACAAGTTTTCTCACTTTTACCCTTCCAATTCTCTCCCCCATCCCACCAGAGGCCGGGGGGGGAGTGAGCAAGCAGCTGCGTGGTGCTCAGTTGCCGACTCCCCATAAACCACGACAAGTGCGCAGGTGACAGGCTCTCTCCTTCAGCCACTGCTGACCAGATGAGGACCACACATGTGGAGTCCAGATGTTGGCATCTCCATGTTCATGCTCATAGTTCAGAGTGTGACTCCCAGCAGAAACTCACCCTTTCTTTAAGATTCATCTCACCCATCCTGAAGACCCAGGGCACAAAAGTCCATTTGCACTGGCCACCCTTTCCTGCCTTGCCAGCCAGTGGAGAGAGAAACCAGTCAAGGCACAAGCACAACTTCTCATTTTGAAAAGATGATTCAAAACTGTGGGGACATATGGGCAGCTCAGCTCACTTCAGCCCTGATGGCTCTAGCCCCTAAGCACCCAAATGGGGTTTGGGTGGCCTCCCTCCTCTGAGGACAGAGCCTGGCACCCCCAAAGGTGACTTGTCCCATCCCACCTTGCAGGTCACCATGGACTGGAGAAAATGCCTTCTGTTTGTTTTTTTTTTCTCCCCACTGAACATTGGCAGACACGGGAAAGATGACTGTCATGATCCACAGCTGCCTGATTCTGAGGGAGTTATTTCCAATGTAGTCTTCTGCAAGGGATAGCTGAATCCCCTTCCTGAGGTCTCCCTTGTCTTTGCTGCAGCATTTACAGAAGTCATTGTTTATTATTCTACCTCAGTTTTGCTCTTCCTCAGAGCAGGTTGAATTGCCACAGAGGTCTGGGGAGGGGTAGCCCTTGCTGGAGTTGTTGACAAACTTTCCACCAGCTCAGAACTTCCTTCCCCCAGAGACTGGTTACATAGTGCTCGCTCCCTGCAGTACCAAGGTGAGAGGAGATGCAGCAGGACCCTTCAGGAGGCTGATTCCTTCTATAAGCAGCAGGAGAGTTTGGAGAGCGGGTACATTCAGGTACTGTTGATGACTCACAGCAGGAGCTGCTGGAAGCAGAGTACAGGAGTGTAGCTGCTTGTGTGGCAGGAGTTGGGGGTCTGAAGAGATAAGAAGGAAGGAAAGGAAGTGGACAGGAAGAAATTGAGTGTGAGATCCAGCCCTTAAGTTTTGTTCACAGGTACCATCAGAGAAGTCAGTGCTTCGTACTGAGGGTTACACATAGGTTCTGCATTTGCATAGGCAAATTTGTTGTTATTTAGCTCATGGGAGTTTGCGTTGTGTCAGTTATACAAGACCTGTGCCTCTGTCTTGTCCTTTCCTGGGTGTCTTCCTTCCTGAGCTCACTCCTTCCTCCAGATACTGCCTCTGTGTCCTTGGCACTGCTGAGCTCTAGGGCAGTGAGGCTGTTACTGCTCAGTTAGATCTGTGCCACTGCTGTGCAGGAGCCAGCTCGGGGTCACTCCCTTAACTCAGCTGGGCTGTAGGAAGGGTCTGAGCAGGTGTGTGGACACAGGGTGCCTGCACATGTCACTTCATCTCTCACAGTGAAGTTCCTCTCTCTCTCTCTCTCTCTCTCTCTCTCTCTCTCTCTCTCTCTCGTCTCAGGGATCAGTCTCCCACCTTCAGGTTTCTCACATTAGACCCTACGCTGCTCTCCAGGTACAGCACTGATTTTGGGGCCCTCTCTCCACAGGAGTACCTCACAGAACAACTCTTCCCAGCCCAGGAGAGGGATGTCATGGAGTTGGTGTGGTTACCCATGTTGAGGTGCCAGTCCTTCCCAGCAACTGTCTGTTCTGTGTAGGTGCCTGCCATGGTTGTCTGCAATTCACTGTAAAAGCTCTAAAGTTATAAGATGGGAAACCACAGGCACATCAGTGTGTCCCTCCCCAATTTTGCAGAAATGTAAGGAGGACGATTGGGCAGAGGGCTTTGTTTCTCAGCATGGAGTTTCCCTGTGCACATATACAAATGCCTATGGGGTGTTTACCTCCATCACATACTAGATACTGCTCCTGTCCCATCTCAGCTCCCACTCACCATCCCTTTCCCTATCAGAGTAGAGACCTCTGAGAGCACATCTTGAAGTGTGGAGGTGCAGGTGCTGTGCTGTTGCAGGAAGGCCGTCCAAATGCATTCAGAGACTGCAGCTGAAGGGGAAAAGATATGAAGCACATTATCTTCATGATCTTTTCTGACCTATTTCCTTCCTTCTAGAATAATCTTGCTTCTCCACATTGCCTCATTCATCCAGATGTCCCTTTCCTTGCATTCACCTT